TAAAAATTTCTTCAAGTTCAAATAGAGTATCTTAAGCTTAAGCATTAAAAGCTATGCATTTCGTACTCTTTATAGTGTCTATAAAAAAACCCCAAGGCTGGCATTGCTAGAGTTTCAACCATAAGCCGCTATTGAATTCTCGGTTGGGCTAACTTCAGCAATTGAAAAAGATATCAACTGAAAATGTATAAAGTTCTTACACAATTGCAAAACAGTTTTCGTCCTGACTTAGTTACTTAAACAATCATCTATATGTTGTTTCGCTGGCTTACCGTTTCATTTCAATACAAAATGTTACTTGATTATTTAAATGGAATCACAGCGTTTTGTGCCCACTTTAAATACTTGCATGACTGTCACATGGACCTCTACGCAGCAATAAAAAATGTTTCAGACAACCTTTTGAAATAGTATGCAAATAAGACGGCAAGCCCTGTGGAAAAAAGTGCGTTGCACAGGCGAATGAAAATCGGCTACATATGCCTGTTTATATGCAAATATTACTTTTACATATGTACGCAAACATTTGGCAATTACTCGACGATGTCATTGTTGTTGTTGCCGCTGTGGTTTCTGCCCTGCGGCTGCGTTAGTTGCTTGTCTATTTGCAGCTACCAATTCACAGTGAAGAGGACGAAAAAAGTTCACTTCAAATTTTTTTTGGAAATTTTCAATTTAAATTGTGATTCAATTTTGCACGCCCCAATGCAAAAGTCGCGTCTGTAATGGTGCATATTTACAGATATATATATATATATATATATATATATATATATATATATATTTATATTTATATTTATATATACATCGTATATATGTATTTATTGATATCGCGCATCAAGTGCAGAATGCTGTGAAGTGTGTGTCAAATCCCATCTAGACTCTGCTCTGTCCCCTCACATTTTGCCTCGACCGCTATTTGTCATGCAAATTTATTTTCGATTACTTGTTACCAAAGATTTGCTTCAGATTATGCAAATGTGTCAAACGTAAGACTTACACCCACACACGTACACCCACAGTCTCACGCGAACTGAGGTGGTGGGCGTGGCATTTTGCTGCCTTACAAGTGGCTTATTACTCTTAGTGGTTGTCGTTGTCGTTGTCGAATAAATGCAAAAACTTTGCATATTTTCATGCAAACGAATTTATTTTTTTCCTCTTTAGGCATAATAAAATATGAGTTGGAAAATCTATTTTCGCATTCACTGATTGTTTATCGTTCAAGCTATTGATTCCACATTTTTTTGAGTGTGGGACGTCCTTTATTTTCCCACTTCACACATTCATACTCACTCCATAGACTGTACAAAGCATTCGCATAATTTTGGGACCAGTCATTCCGTATACATTAAGCATTATTTAGAACTATAAGATTTTAATACTTGTAGAATGATTTTTATTTATATTTATAAGTGACCATAGAGACCACTTCAGTTTCGTTTATAAATTATTTGAATTTGGAAGAATATATGATTTTCAAAGTATTTTAAATTAAACTTAAGTTTCTTAGAATTTTTAGCAACAAAAACAAGTTATATATAACAATATAAATTCTAAGGGATCTTTAATATAATCGGAATTGGTCACCAAATAGAATTATGCTTAAAAAATATCATATACACATTACAATGCCAATATAATTTGCCTGCCTCTATCAATGTAGACCTAACCTTGTTATGCCATTAAAACAATTAAAAAATAAGTTAAATAAATAAATTAAATATATATAATTGCAGAAATTGCGTAAAATGCTCCCTTGCGTCTGCTTGAAAAACTGCGTTTACTTTTTTATCAGTTAATTTTGTTTTATTTTATATTTGGTTGACTATTTTTATTGGCGGTTACATTGGCCGCTACCATTTGTATGCATTTTATGTGTGGCATTTTTAATTGAATAATTCGAAATATATATATACCCACACACGCATGAATTCGTTAAAATCATTCCGCGTTCTGTTTTTTTAAATACATATAAATTGTATTTCCTTTTGTGGGTTAACTCTGCTTGCATAGCTTGTAAATCAATTGCCTTTGCAAGGACATCCGTTTGCCAATAAATAAAATGAATGATCCAAACGTTGAATCGCCTTCGCAAAACTCAATAAAAATCATTTACCGTCAAATGTGTTGGCAGTCTGTGTAAATTTGTGTCAATGTGGATAAAAAATAAAATTTCGAATTTAAAAAAATATACAAGTATATATAAATAACTATTTAAATATATTTTAGTTGCATTGCATTAATTGCAGCTCTAAAGCCCGCACAAGTGCTAAATGCCAAATGAATTTTATTGCCATTGGCTCACTCGAACTTCTATAAATACACTCAAACAGTCAGAGCGAATGAATGTACACGTGAACGTCACGAACTAATTAAAATTTTTGGTACTCCAATTAGCTGCCAACAATTATCCAAAATAATTTCAATTTGGCACTAAAATTTAGTTAATAATTGAAAATAAATTGTGCTTAAATTTTCTAATATTCATTACATGGTTTAAAACAATTTCTGCATTTAATGTTTTCGTGTGGAAGATAATTTAAGTGTTGATATATATGGAGTTCCAAAGAGAAGGAAATGCCAATCATTCTCAAATATTATGTATAGTTTTGGTCAATCGAGCAGGTTCTTTAAGCTTATAAAAAGTCTATTCAAATTCTTTTAAAATAATATAATTTTAAATCTGTTTTCTTTTAGACATGTTTTTTGCAAAAGTGGACAAGACTAAGGTTAATGATCAAACTTTTGCTCTGAGATAAATAAGCCTATTCCCTCTGATTTTATTTGAGTACAACATTATTCCAATAACTCTTCGAACGTCGAATTGATTCAACCAGCTGTCAGCAAAAAGCTGAGTGCATTGCCGCAATGTTGATATTGATTTTTTTATTTCAAGTAACGGACGTCTAAATTACTATGTAAATAATGCAAATTAAAAAGTATCGATACATCACATAATCAACACAAATTTCACATCAGAATGACTTGTAAAACGCAAAGTCGGCTCGTTATACTTAAGTCCCGTAATGACAAAATATCGATGCGATAAATTAAAATCAAGATTCATAGCCACCAAAAGCCAAGCATTTGCTTTCGTTATTATTATTATTATTATTGTTTTTTTTTTCACATTCTTATCGAGCAATGATGCTTAACGTTTTATTAAGTGACTCAGTCAAAGCTGTGAGCATTTTTTTGCAATTCATGTGAAATAATTAAATGAGACGAACCACGACACACTGGCCACAAGACTTGGCAAAAAGAAGCCGAAAAGCCAATACCAGCAAAAAAATAACAAGAACATTTGAAGACGATTGAATGTTCTATGAAATTGCTTATAGCTCAGGTGTGACTATATGAGGATATATGGGTTTATAATATTGAAATATAATTTTTATTAGTGCAAAACTTAATAACTGAAGCTATTAAATAAAATATTATATTTTAATTTATATAAGCATTTTAATTTATAAAAATATGATAAACATCAATGAATATTGGAACTTTTGTAGAGTATAGTCTATAGCTTCCTATTTCCTTTCTTATTTTGCTACTTTAGTGTTTCTAAACGGATGGACTCTATGCATAACATCTTATATTGAAATATTATAATTCTGGTTGCCTTGCTCACACCTAAATGTACTTAGCGCACATTGAACTGCACAACTGCCACATAATTGTTAGGTAATTTATTAATTAAATTAGTCTGAGGTAATGCGACTCTAACGGTGCTTAAATATGCCTTCTTTAATTTTGACCCTTTTTCTTATTAGGGTGCGTAAAACTGTTTCTCGTTTTTTCCTTTACGAAATGCCACAAGCGAAAAGGCAAATAAGCCAAGCATTGGGGCAACTTCTGGTTTGCGGTTTTAATTGCGCCAAGTAATGTGGTTGCCGTAAATGTTGTTTGCATTGTTGTTGTTATTATTATTAATGTCATTGTTGTTGTTGTTGGTGTTGTTGTTGCTGTCGCTGTTGGCATAGTAGTTGCTCTCATTGTTGCGGTTTGTGTGCAAACCGAAAAGGTTAAGTGGCGTGTTTAAAGCAACGAATTAAATCATTATAAATCACTCTGAGACGAGCGAAGATACGTATACGAACGCATGACCAGACCTCGACCTTTGCGCTGAGTTCACGGACTGACAACGACCTACCAAGAGCGTATAATACATACAAATATTATATTTTAATACAGCAAATGTACATTTTCGTATTGAAACATTATTTCATTCAATTATAACTAAATAGTTTATCTATGGCGCTCGATTAAGATATTGTGACCTAGTCAGAATACCCTTCACCAAGCAAGATTTCGTGCTACACGCAGACCCATAGCAATAAGTGGCTCATTGAAAACAACAACAAAACTAAGCAAAAGAAGAAAAAGAAGCAAAGAGAAACAAGTTATTGCGCGTATAGCACATAAGTAATACATACCCTGTGCACTGGAATTGCAAACGTAATACATTTGTTATGTCTATATATAGAATTATTGCAATTTCTTATTTGGATATAAATTTGATAATGCTATTTTTTCAAATTTTAATGATCAGCAATATCGATAAATATATATACGTAGGGCAAAAATTCTCCCTGTATTACAGGGTATAAAAAGTGCCAGCAGCAAGTAGTTAATGCCGGACAACTTGAGAAGCAGCAAACTAAGTATTGTTAAATGTCTTCGTCTTTAGCTTCGAATTCGAGTTCGAGTTTGAGTTTGAGTTCGACTGTGACTGCGACTGCGACTGCGATGAAGCTCAGCTTCAGCTGAGTTTGCATTTTAAAGCGGTTGCTGTTGACCTTGAGCTGCATAAATCGAATTGGAGCAGGTCGTTGACGAAGCGCATGCTCTTGTTATTGTCTTTCTTATTATTGTTGTAATGCTGTGCATTACATTTTTGCGGTTGATATCATCCTTGAGATCGCACCTAAATTTCGCAAGGCCTTCCGCGCATCTATAACTAAATGTATTGTGGCTTGGGCTCTGCGGTTTCTTACCTGTTCTGAAATATGCAGCTGCCTGGCGTTTGTTATTGTTGCAGGTATTACGGCTTTTGTTGTGGCTGGCTGAAATGTTGCACACAATATGTAAACAAAATACTTGTGTTGCCGTTGCTGAATAACTTTGGCGCGTTTTGTGTTTGCAAAGTCAACAAACGTAAAGAACACGTTTGCTTTTAGTTAACCAGTTTTGGCAATGGCCAAAGATTGCGATTGAGCAAAAGATTGAGACATACACAGGTACAATTCCGCACGCACATATACACACACAGCGAGGTGGAGCCGCACGAACACACTCAAACAAACTAGACAAACTAAGCGCATGCGAAATGTGAGCGTTGCTTATGTTGGTAATATTGTTGTTGCTGCTGTAGTTGCTGTTGCGGATTTTTTATCTCTTACTCGCGTAATTAGCCAACAGCTTAAGCCAAAGATTGAGCCACACTGAGACGGAACAGCAACCAATATAGGTAGGCACTGTAATTACTTAGCTTGACTCATTTATTTACTGGACAATTAACGCGTTCTTATTAATTTTAATTTGCACCTGCCGTTAATCGTTGACGATCGTCGATACGATTCGAATGAATTGATTTTTTACTAGCGAGTTCTGTTCGATCCGTTGCCCGAAGCGTTTCCGCGTGTTGTTACCAGAGCCAGCGACGAATGAAAACTGAATATCAAACCGAACGCTGATTTGCGCTGACAGATCCGACAGTTTGGCTAGAGCAGTAGCTCGGTTAACGTTGCCGTCGACGTCGTTGTCGGCGTCAGCGTCGTTGTCTTAACCAAGTTGTCTAAGCGCTCCGTTCAAAAGATCAAATTGTAAGTGGTCTGCCTTCTACAGCTGCTGAACAGTTGCTCACTTGCTCTAGGCAACCACTTTATTCTCCGGGTGTGCGTCGTGACTAAACCAGCTGTTGTATTGTTGTATTTTAAAGCGACAGGGAGTGAGCGACAGAGAGTGAGCGACAGGGAGTGAGCGACAGAGAAATAGAGAGCGAGAGAGCGAAAAGCTTATTTAGCTTTGATCATTTAAGCTAGCTTATGGCTCAGCTTAGAGCTAAGTGTGGTTGCTGAATAAACTAAATAGTTATTTATGTAAAAATTGGAATTAAATAAGCTTGTAAATTGTTATTTTACCTAATATAAAATTTCATGCTATGTTTTTATATACTGGACAGGGGAATTTGGCTTAATAACATTTTATTTTGAATATTAAACTCAAGTCGATTCACTTTGTAAATTGCCTTACTGAGTATTGTTTATAGTTGGTAAAGTTACCGGGCGAGCAGCATTTCGAATTCAATTTCTTCAAAGATATTCAATAATATTGCAGGTATTTTTATTTTTGTCTTTATATGGGCCGCTCTTGTTAGTTGCACGTTTTTTCCATACAAAGAAGATATTGTAGCACTTTCCCTTATGTATTCAGAATACTTGAGGCATTAGACCACCGGGGCATTTGCTTAAGTTAGCTATTGTAGGTGCAATAAATAGCAGTGACAACACTCTATGCCATTTGTATAGCAGCTTTGGTCAGCTCTGTTTCGAGTCCTTGGCGAGACGAGGCGATGCCGTGTCACAGCCAGGCAACCTTTCAGTTTTCCCAACGCTCACACAACCCCACGCTGAATGTCGCCTTTGTCATTGTCAAGAGTTGGCAGCCTTTTCAGGTTCTCAGGTATGCAGTAATAGCCTGGGTACGCTATCTTGGCACCTACTTGCCCCATGCTACCCACATGCCGCTTGTTGCCCGCCCTCGCTAGCTGGCCTGGCCGAGTCACAATCATCTGACATGTGCACGTCTTTCGCTTTGGATTCGAGAAATGCTCAAATGAATTGCCGCTTTTGCAAAGATTTCTTGCAGCTGCTTCGTTTGGCTGGATTGCTGCATTGCCCCATGTTGCAGCTAGAAGCCAGCACCTTGACGTTCGCTTGTGTAACAAGTTACACGTGCATGTTTTCAACAATGTCGCCATTTCAGTTTCTGTTTCCATTTGACGTCCCTCGGATGCGCCATGCAAAACACTAAGCTTGCCTTTGTTGCATGCTTCCTCGGCAATAGCAATGTTGCAGATAAATTTCACACACATACATAGTTTGAGCTGCTTAAGTGTCTACAAAATATTTGTGCATCGTTTCAACCCAGATAACTTAAGGCAGGCAATGCCTCTACCCCGGTTCCTCCTCCTCTCTCTCATAGCTGACATTTTTGGCAAGCCGAGATTCCCGGGTTGCCGCTAATGAAGTACGGGACATGCTGGCGGAACGCCTTGAGCAAATTATATGACAACAAATCTCAAGCCTAATGCCTCATCAATGACAATTGGGTATTGTTTTCGGAGTTTAATTCTGTCGCAGCTGCTGCTCTTTAAGATCCAGACTCTTGGATATCTTTGTGGTGCATTTATCTTGTGTCCACTTTTGAGTGCAATTTTCAGAAATAAATTTTACCCAACGGTGCAATTTTCGGGCTAACAAATTTATGTGCTCAACAATTGATTTTCCAGTTCAATTTCGACTGCTGCAACGAATGCAAGTCTGAACCGTAGCCAAACGAACCGCAAGGTGCAAACTGTAAAAATAATGCCCGGAAAACTGAAGAGACGTCGAACGACTAGCTGAATGACTGCCTGACTAGCTGGCTGGCTGGCAAAGCATCGCGGACCAAACACTGCGCCACTTCATAAAATATGAAATTAGATTTGCAAGTACAGCAGCAGGACAACGAGCCAGTGGTAAAAAGGATGTGCATGCATATAGCTTGTTGCAGCTTTAGCAAGAAAAAAAGGCGAAGCAAAATATAAAAAAGTAGGAAACCAATAGTGAGAGGGTGAGTGAAGTCAAATGGTCATGCCAGTGAGGCAGCCAAGCGACCAACGTTGACTCAAATGGCTTGACATTCGATCAAAAGTTCGGCGGAAAGAGGAGCTAAAAGCAGGTTAAGCCAGATGCATAAGCCAGAATGGCAACAATATGCGCTTTTGCGAAACTCAAATGCATTTGCATTGGCTAAAAATTGCAAATATATTGAAAATTAAATTCAAAATGTTGACGAAATGATTTTAAGTGTTGTGATATTAGTGTATATATTGATATATATCAATAATTAAATTATTTGAATATTTTTGAATGTTAATTTAAAACAATTTCAATGTTGAAATTTTTGGTGAGATGTAAAAGTAATTTATAAAAATTATATGAGAAGATGACACTAGATAAGAGAACGAGTCTCAATCAACTTTTGAGTGGAAAATATTGGTAAATGTAGAAAAACTTAAAGCCTTAATTTTAAGAAAATATATTTTTTCTAAAAATCGCATATTTAGGACTGTTTAAGAGAACATAATTCTCTTGAGTAACAGATTTCTTTATATTACTCTCAACAACAACAACAGCATTTTCTGACTTTCCCAAATTTACAACATATGTTAAGCAAAGCAGCTTTAATGTGGGTTCTGTTCGGCTTGTCGTTAATACCCGATATTTGCAATGATTTGTAGCGCATTTGGCAGAGTTCGAGCAGGAAACAGTATGAGAAGCGGTTTTAGCAGCAGGACCACGACACACAAATACCAAGCGCAACGCGCGGCTAATGCCGCTTAATAGTTTTAACATTTTTTGCGACGCTCTTTGGTCTTTGTCCAGAGCGAGAGGCGTGGCTGGAAAGACGAGCGCGGAGGAGCTGGAAGGATATGCTGACTTAACTGATTCGGTTCTTTTTGCTATTTCTCGCTTTAAACCGAGCGCGTTGTTCAATAGCTGGAAAATGTAAATCCCATTGACTTGGCTCGCGTTTATTTTACGTTCTTTTCTTATTCCACTTTTCCTTATTTTTTGCTGCTAATGTAACAAAGGGCGTGGCTGTGGCTGTGGCATGTGCCTGGGTTCACCGCAGTTCGCCTCGCTTTGACTGCAATTGTGGCCGAAATGTCTTCATTGCTTTGATTTTCAATTCGATTGCATTTAATTCGTGTCCTGGCATAAGCTGCGCGTGTCGAATAAAGAATTTATTATGCCTGTCCGTACTCTCGTCTCTTTTTGGTCGATTTATATAGACAATTTATGAGGATGATTTATGAGTGCAGTGCCTTTGTGGCAACATCAACGGAGTGCCACAAACGCAATTTGTGCGCTTATCAATAGATATATAGTATGTATATATATATGTGTCTGTGTATGCATATGAATAATAACTAGGCAGTCTGGCGACAGCTTTGTCAACACGATAATTTTGTAGGGCATATGAAAGAATATGGGCAGAATTACTTAGAAATAATATCTTAAAGACAGCAGCTACTATAAATTATAATAATATATACGATGCGAAGGTTATTTGAATTAACACAATATTTTCCATCATTTTGTCTGTGGCAGAGTATTCGTGAGTCGTTCAATTAGTTGGCTTGTTATTGTTATTATTGGTTGGGCAGCAGCCACAAAGTTGACACCTCAGACAGCTACCTGCTCAAGCCCCACAAGTACATAACACAGTGACAACGACAACAACTTTGTCTGACAACAATCAATCAATATTTATATCCTCAAGCGTTTAGCAGCTAGCTGTCTTGTCTGTTCTTTGCGTGTGGGTGTACGTGTGTGGGTGTCTCTCTGTCCCTCAGTCTATGTAAGTATGTAAACATGTAGGTGTATCCATAAATATATATACTTATGTAAATTATATGCGCATATGTGTGTATCTTGACGTAGCTGTGCTTTGTTGTTGTTATTGTTGCCAGAGCGCTTTGACAGCGCTCTAATGATAATGACAAGCGCAATAATACTCACAGGCAGTCTCCAACCACCAACCACCAACCAAGTAGCAACCGCCCAACCACCACACGCCTAGGTCGAGGTACTATCCCGTGGAGGTAGTGCGAACTTAACAGATTTATGTTTATCCGCTCAAGTGCGCACGCTTCATAGCTATAGCTGGGCATGTGACTGTATTTGTAGTCATGTCTCAGTCAGTCACTGTTGATTGATGTCTCGGCTAAGTTAATTACGTGACTCAAAAAGCGGCCAACTCTGGACAAGGACTTGAAAAACTTTGCAGTTCGTTGCTTAGATCCGCAATTAATTGATTATTTTTGTTTTTGCAGCGAATGCCAAACAAAGCACTTGACTGCGAAATAATAATAATAATAAGAAGAATAATAATAATCACCATCTGAGGTGCTGCCAACATAATGATTATTATAATGATATTGTTGTCAGACAGGCGTTGGCAGAGATTACACATTAAATAAATCATCAGAGGCGCTTCACGAGATTTGCTCGGCTAACACTTCACAGCACTTGAAGTTCTCAGTTGAGATTTATTGTAAATAAGCATGATTATCATAGCATCACGTATACGCCATGTTCAGCTTGACTGGCAGCAGTGGCAGTAGGCAATAGCGTAGGCAAAGCACGCGGACAGCTCGAGACCGGGATAACAAAGGGCGGCCTAATCAGGCCTAGAAATAGGCTAACACTCGTCGTAGGCCAATATACAACATTTCTATATGCGAGCCACGACTGCGTATACGCGATATATCGCACTTTAAAGAAGCTGTGTTGGAAAAGGGACTTTGGGAGAGATCTGACGTCAGTGAGTTAGGTAGAATGCACAGTTAGACTAATATAAATTGACTTTGAAGGATTATCGATGCTAATGCCAAATAAAGCAAATATGCACATATATACAATGTAAATTTGTTCACAT